ATGAAATACTTAAAAATTTTTTTAATGCTTAAGTATATATATATATATATATATATTCCGTATTCGTATTCGTTAAACTTGACAATCTTATAAGATCATGATTTTTGTTGCATATGTTGGTATCAAGAGATCGTACAATATTTGTGCTCCCAGCTTGTAATTATATCTTCCTATGGTTTTTGCACGGAGAACAGTTTAGTTGTAAAAGTTAATATAGAGAGACTATGAATGGATTATAAACAATTTCAAACAAATTTTAAAGTGCCTGATATAAAAATATTTTATCTCAACATTTTCTAATGCGAGTCGATTTGCTTGCACGTTTTCACGCGTGAGGGATTTGGTGCTATTTATATCTTGGGTGCATGTAACTGGAAATTGTTATAAATGTTATTAATATAAATAATCTCAATTATAGCAATTATTTGCTATAATTGGCTTTTAATTTTTGATACTAATACTTACAGGCTTATTATAGATGCACTGGCAATCTTGGGATGTAAATTATGAATACTGACGAAGTCATAATGCTCGAAGATCGTTGAAGATCTTTGAAGTTGTGGAGCAATTGTAATGTTTACTGGATGAAGATAGAAGATATTTTAATATAGCTTACTGACGTTAATAATATTTCGAATATGACATACGGAATTGTACAATGTTTAATCAACTCTTTAAATCGCATATACATGTATTTGAAACATGTTATGTCTGCAATCCTGTTTGTGGTGTAATTTTTTACGAACGATATGCTTCAAAGCAGAGTGCCTTGTCTTTGTAATCAATTAATGTGACCATCATTACTCATCGTTTTTTGCTGCATTAACCGTCCATAGAAAACATAATAAATGTAGTTATTAAAAGTGATCGTATTTCTAGATCGCCGGCTAAATATTTTTGCCGCGAAAAAACGCAAAAAGAAAAAAAAATATATTTTTTTTATATGTAAAGTCTATACTCTTGTTACAAATTGCAATTATATTGATATTTTTCGAGAAATGCTGTTAGATTGTAAACTTCTCACTTACGTTTTATACTATCAATTATGTAATGGAGATTGCCAGAGTGAGAAGAATATCTGGTATTTATAGATCTATATATCTTTTATCTTAAGGAGTTCGCGTTCTGTATCTAGCGAAAGATACTGGAGTAGCGCGGAAGAAAAAAGGCCACTAACATTGAATTTTTCGTTATCGCAAATTAACTCATGGCCTATTTATTACCGGAAATCATAAAATATCCGGTAAAGAAGATAACGCGTATATGCAATTAGTTACATGTGGCAGCTGACAATATTTGGGAAGAGATTTACACGACTATTTCCATTACTTAACAAGCGGCAATGTCCATTTTGATCGATACATACTGAGGATTGATATAATTGAATAATAAACTTTTGTATTCGTAAACAATGGATAATATTTATAAACAACAAAGGCAAAAATTACACTAAATAATTTTCATCAAAATGAACATTAACAGTGCCACGAAATCGAAATAGTTATGTGAATTTCTTACCTCTTTGTATACTAAGGACTTCGACAATCTTATATTATATAAAACTTTTTGTAATATCCGCATTCTCCCGCCTTTTCCTGTAGTCGGGAAAAGCCTCGGAGAAATTTACGTTTCGTTATTCGCACGCTCCTGCGTTGATGTCTCATTCATTCAACTGGTTGACCGTGCGAATATCGAATTTTTGACCGCTTGATTTTTTTTTCTTTTAAAATAGTAAAGAAAGGGCGATCATGTTATAAACGTTGATTTGACATTTGTGTCATTCACTGTATTTTTGGACCGACACTCTGGAAGACGGGACGTCGCACGTTGAACACGGTGTGAGAAATTGAAAACGTGATCTTTCTTATTTTATATATACAAGTTCAATCATCTTACAATTGATTGTATTCGAGACATTTTTAATACCATTTTTAAGAACTGGATGAAAAATACGCGTTTTGAGTTTTATACAGTTTTGAGTTTCTCCTTTTTATTCGCTTCCTCTTATCTAAAAATTCCAATTTTATTCAGTCGCTTTTTAGTTTTGTTTTATTCGAGTTCGCCGTGTTTTATGATTTATAGCGATGTCCCTTTCCGATTGACGTTACCGTCGAAATTAGTAACGTTTTCTGATATCATGAAAATCGACCCGACCGACAGTCTTCCAGGAATGTCATGTAAATCAAGCGCGTTTAATGTATTATTTTAATTGCAATTTAACGATTAATATTTACCATACTGTATCTTGCTTTTAGTCTAAACTCAGTGTAGATTACGTTTTGGGGAGTATTGCGATACGAAACTTACGCAAGTGCCTTCATGTTGAAGATATTCTTAAGATAAGAATGCAAGTTCCGCGATCTATGTTGATGCGTTGAATAGACTTTTAGATCGAAAACTCCCTGCTTTAGGCTGCGCCTCCATATCTGAGATTATATATGAAAAGCAATTAGTTGTTTAATGTCAGTATTTAAATATGCTCATTGGCAATAATTTGTGAGATACATTTTTATATCGATAACAAGTGCCTAGTAATAACGATAACAATAAATATTATTTACTTACGTAGAGTATTTATTTTTTTATCTTTCCTCTCCGCTTCATTGTTGATACTACATCATATAAATATATATAGTTTTTGTAAACATCCATCTAATTAGTGTTTAGTATTACTATATTCTCATTAGTTGTAACAATCCTCTTCGTCAGCTCGTGGCCAAGCGTGATGACTTCTCTTATATGCCTGTCATACGCACGCTGGTTGTATATAATCATATGGGACCTACCTAGTTTAAAGTTGATTCTAAATGACGAAATTTTTTTAGAGAAGTGCTCTTAGCAAAGATTCTCTTGGTGATTTGCTATTGCCTGCCAAGAGGAACTTAACGAGTGCTTTATTCAGTGCAATAGCTGAAGCAGTTTCCCTGGTATAAATATGTACAACTTGCATAGATTATTGTCTAGTATTAATAGATTATTATTAGTTAAAGCATTGCATAATTCATTTAATGTACTGGTTTTTTTTCCAGTAAATATATTCAGATTTTACGCATCTTTTGTGCGTTCCAAGAGTATTCTGAAATATTCCCGAAATATTTAATGTAAGAGCAATCGTCAAATAATTATTAAACATTTTATTGTTACATAATATATACATTGGAGAGCACAAGCGTGGCATAACGTGGCACGAGCGTGACATAAGGTGGCACGAGCGTGACATATGGTGGCACGAGGTAGCGCATAAGACTGCTGTGCCAGAGATCCCGGGTTTGATCTCAGACAGATTCAAGAATTTTCACGCGCTCACATTTTAGCTTCTCTTCGGTGGTCTGGCAAATTACCGCAGTTATGATTTTAATATATTTAAAAGTATATGTGTAGCTAAATGACTGGATGTGTAGCAATATGACTGCAATGAATTACAGAATACAAGGACTAGTTTTATATACTTATACTGTCTCCGAGTCTTCTTATACGTCTTATACATCATCTGTTATTTATATATTTTCGAAACATTGTGTTAAATTATAAATAAGTACGTTAAACTTTTACATAAAAGAATTTTATTATCAGATAATATATTATCAGAAACTCTATCAAAGATTCTGGTAATAAACTGTTTGATTTTTACAAGATCACACTTTACAAACAACAGGTTAATATTACAATATCTTATTTTCAACGAGTACAGTGCGTTCCTACGTTAATTACACTTTGTACGTATATTTTTAAATAAAAAGTTATAAGAATGTACACTGAAAAAAAATTTACGAAATTTAAATAAATAATTTGTTTAGATAGTACCAATAGGATCATTTATAGTGAAGAAATATTTGTTCAATTAAAAAAAATTAGACTTTATTTAAATATTAAATAAATAATTAAACAAATATATAAAATGAAGCTCGAAAGAATCTATCAGTGAAAAATGTAAAAGTCTACATCAGCTGTTCGGATGCACAGAAAATTCTTTATTTTTCGTGTAAATATAACAAAACAAATAAAATATACGTTTCAATCCTTCAATTCGGGTCTTTATCAATATAAAATATAAATCAAAATTACATAAACAACGCAAATTCCAAGTTGATGATTCCTGATAATTTAATTCGTTCTTCTTTATTCAAATGCCAAATTAGCTGTATAATGAATAGCCCAATGATTATCAAAAATATTAATTTATACAATATATATGTACAACTTACATGTAAGCGTTTTTTAGCGGCTCAACATAAAGATCTTGTGCTGTCAACAGTCAGAGATAATGGGAGTCAAAATAATAAAGTCAAGTAGCTATTGAAATAAAAATAAAACTAAAAACAAAAGAAGGTAACATCAACGTCACAATTCCGTAAACAAATTCATGTATAGTGGGTTCAAAGAATACGTATTATTCTAAATTT